AGGCTGGCGTCGGGCTGCGCTCTTTCTTCCCCCGCCCCCAGCACTCGCCTTCGTTTTTTAAAGCACAAAATTAATTCATAAAGCACACCCCTTAAGTAAACGCCAAGGCATGCACAAAAACTGAACAAACTAACTTTCTCTGCAGTCGTTGCTGCGGTTCCAGCTGACATCGCATGCGTTCTGGAGTTTGCTAATCGTACCTAGCGCGCTTATCTCTACATGCAAACTACTGATTTGCGCAAATGAGGGTGGCGCACAGGTGAAGATTGAGGGCGCAGACTAGGAAAGCTATCTGACATATGACTGTTATCTTTTGATTTCTAATTTAGCCATATTCCTTATTGTTTTAAACTAGCGGGTAGAGATGTCGTGCCTAGTCAGAATACGTCATGACAGACGCTTTTACAGAGGTGCCTGGTTTCTAAAGGTGCTTCCCTGCAGAGGAGTCATGTCCTCGACAGATCTCCTTGGTTGGCGGCACGGTTTTTGTACGAGGATAGTGCTGTAATAATGCATGGGAGGACCTGCTCACAGTGGTTCACGCAGCATTGACTATGTGCAAGTTTGTTTTTTGACATTATTCCTGAGGCTTTTTTGAGCTTCAAGGGTGTTTCTGTAACCAGATTCAACATACGGTTTGAAAAAAAAAAAAAAGGAGTATATGGAAGTTTGTAATTCTGGCAGTGTCTGATGACACTAAATTCAAGCTGCGTTAGGTCCTGGGTCTACAAGAGTGTGACCTTCTTCTTGAAGCACACAGTAACTGAGAAAGCATTGTCATTTATCTCTAGTTAATGAACCCCAGGTGTCTCTTCCCGCCTGCCAGAATGAGGAGCCAACTCTGCGTAGCTTTCGCCGCACCTTACAAAGCAGACTGGTGGGATTTGAACCCAAAGCTTTATCCCCTTAAAAGAATGCCTTATTACCTGTCCAGGGAACTTGCTCGGAATTCTTCGGTCCGGGGATCAGAGGTTCTCCCCGAGAATCCCTCGGTGCTGGCTGGAGGTCCTGTGATCCCACGGATCCGTCGGGATTCACAAGCGTCGTCCCATCTGGGTCGCCAAAACTGTCACTGAAATTGGGAGGAATAAACCTCGTAACACCAATGTAGTGTTAAAAGGCAGGCATTCTTTATTCACGGCACCGGATGCATGGGGGATCGCTCCACCTAACGTGCATACCTAGCGCCTGTTTCAGTCAGGTTATATTGATCAAATACATGCATATTCATTACATTAATACATAATCAATAATATCTTCTCTAACGATTGGTCCAAATTCTCTCGCTTCCTATGTAAATTACTGCGCAGACTCAGTTGTGCATTTCCATTGTTCTCTTTTGAGTAGGTGGTATCATTTGGGTAGGTGGTCAATGAGTCGGTGGTCGCGATCTCCCCGTGCCGGAATTACCTCCTGCCTACTGGGCTCTCTATCTTGGTAGTCCTAGCCAACTTTCTTGGTCCATTGCACGGAATTACCCTTCATCTTCTTCCCCTGACAGGTGCACATTGTCTATAGCTTCAGCTACATTAAGAATGACCTTAAAACTACAGACCATATACTGTTCTCATTGTCCTGAACTTAGTGTTCAGTTGGGTGGGGCTGTACAGAAGAGAACACAGCAGCATTCATGGTTGCATTTTGTAGTTAACTGATTCGATCCCATCACCCCAATGCTGAAAACTAAGATACATAACAATTTCATCATCATTTTGGTTACAAAAACACAGGTAAGCTTGCCACTTATCAAGCAGAAACCAGCATATTCTTGCTTCATTGTTTTCATTGACCTTTATGCTGCAATAGTGCCCTGGTCACCTGGGTGCCTTGTGGAGTTTGTCTAATGTAGTGTAGAAATCATGATCTCGGGCTAAAATAAATAAATAAATAAATGTATTCTTTTCCTTGGATGAGTCCCTTTAGGAAACTCTGTGCTGCACTGGCAGCCTCAGACAGGCCAGTTCCTTTGGGAGAGTATGCAGTGGATGCTGATCTTTAGTTCTGGGTAAGGTTGTCCCTACCCAGGCCTTCCCAGCTGCCACCAGCCCCACCGGGGTGACCTGTGGTAGAACATCTGTAGCTGTGTACCCCAGGTGCACCTGAGCTCCTGTGGTAGCCAGCACGTGCAGACCACAACAAAGTCTGGAACTGTTAATGAAGAGAGTGTGTAGGCAGGAGAGTGATGGTTCCCCTCACTGTGGTTTTGTGAAGAAGCTTTCATAGCCATTACTTCTTCTGACCTTGCCTGGGG